GCTGCTGCTGCTGCCTTCCTGATAGTTCTGATGTAGATCTCGATCGTAACCGACAAGATCTTCATGGCCGTTATTGCATATGCAGCGCTTGATAAATTTCTGAAGTTTGAAGGTGTTCATGATCTCGTCTCCTTAAGATGATGATGTCCGTCGGGTAGTGGTGAGAAACGGCGCCTGCCAGTGGTGTAGTCGTGGTCGCCGTACTTCTCGTCATATTGCAACGCTGCTAGTGGTGACTTCGTCCAACAAGCCGATGATTCGGGATTCTCGAACAGCCCCATGTCGATCGTGTTGTGAGTTATCGCAAGCGTTGTGCAAGGTAAACTTCAGCATGCCAGTCTCTCGTTGTCGCCGTTCTGCTGCAACTTCGGGATCTCGTCCACTGCCCATTCGGCTCCAGTACTTGCATCGTGGCTCGTAAGTAGTTACCATTTGTTGAAATCGGTGATCGGCTATCCGTAGTAGTTGTTGGTGTTCTGGCAGGCGAAGATCCCAAGCGCACCGTAGACCTATTGGAAATAGCACAAGCTGTTCAAAGGGTGCGGATAGCATGATAAAAGATCAGCGCAAGGATCCAGAACACCGAGTCCATACAATTATTTGTTGTAGTCTGCTGCCAAGCCCTACCCAGATGACGTCAGATAATTCAGAGAAACAGGATGGGGTGATAGCCGGTAGGTTCTCGAAAGTCGCATGGGACATCTCTGGGATCGCCTTGCACTCACTGTTGGCGTCGTTGAGTTCGTCCGGACAGAGCGCGTCTGGAAACGTGGGTGTATCGTTACACCAAGGTGCTGAAATTGAACTTCATGTTTACAAGTATTGTTGATCAAGAGGGTTCTGGAAGGAGTAGAGCTCGTGGCCGAACAGTTTCGCGTCGTGCTCAGGACCTGTCGAAAAAGCGTTGGTGTCGGAGGTATCTCTTCGCCCTCGTTCTCGCAATACAGTCCTGCTACCAATGCTGTCGACATCGTGCTGTACGGTGAGTGCTGCTGGTAGGCCTCGAAGTCCGTGGTTGTAGATGGTGGTACTTGACGCTAGGCTGCTCGACCAAGTTGCTGCTGCTCGTTCTTCACAAGTCGGTCCTGCTTCCAATCTCTTGGCTGGTTGACTTGTTCAATTGGTAGCAGAGTGTGTCCAGAACCAGTAAGAAGTGGCCTCTGAGCACAGATATATCCACTTGTGGTCCTGATGCCCAACCAACTATCATTATTGCTGAAGTCGACACAACACATGATGCATCCAGCATTGAGTAAACTGACCAATGGAGTAAATCCAGGACATCGTGCAGAAATTCGTCCGAGTACATCTGCGTTGAAAGTTGCCTTCTTGATACTTTGCAAACCGATTGGAAACATCACAATTTATTATGACTTCTGCGAATCTGCAGTGATGCTGGTCAACTGATTCGTGCTGGCCTTCCACTTGATGTACTTGTCTAGGCGCCTGTGTTTCAAGATGTGCTCGATGATGTCGGATAAAGTATCTCTGCCAATCAGTCCTCGAAGCTCCAGGGCTCATCAGCAGTCCGTACATCTTGACGCCCTCGATGACAGTGAAGTTGTGGTACCGGTCGTTGTGAAAGATAATTCCGCGCACAACAACATTCTTATCATTCTCTGGATCGGCAGTGATGTCTACCTCCTTGGCCTCGATGTCGTGCTCGTCTTCGCTAGGCGCCTCTGGTATAGATCCAATCCGTATCCATAAAGATGGTGATCGGGTCAGTCATGGACTCGTAGAGCTTGATGAATTCTTGCCGTGATTCTCTTCGTTGGCGTGGGTCGCGTCATTGATGTGGTTGGCAGTGCGCTCGAAACACATGTTGCGGCTGGCTGAGTTGAAGAAGGAAGGGTCCGAACAGCTTTGCTTGACACACTTGCGCGCACTCCGAGGTAGATATTCTTCAACAATCGTGACAGATCCGAGGAACGTCCAAACTCGTTGATGTCAGTGGTGCATACACTTGTTCCTGACGTTGAGCTTCATCACGTTGAAGACCTGGTGGTTTAGGAACTTCATGAGATCCTTACGAGTTTGATCACGTTTCTGTGGTCGTTCTGGTGATCTGGACAGCTGGGGGATTTGGTCAAAACATCATCTGATATGCTTTGCCCGCCTTGGCCTTTTCGCGTCATTCACGATGGATATTCTCTCCTTCTGAAGAAAGGATATATCCAGTGGCATCTTTATCAACTCGTGAGGTATCCTTGGCACTCGTGATTGGGAAAGACACGTGCATCTGGCCGTGGCTCCTGGAACGATGTACTTGCTTTTCTTGCCTTTGCTTTTCTTGCCTCTGCCCTTGAGGTTGAACTTGGCCAAAGTCGCTCTTACCCATCGGTCGGCGTCCTTTGCCTCGTCCTTGTTGGTATCTTGGTGCCTGAGGTCGTCGTGAGTAGCCTTTGCCGTAGCTTCCCGATATAATGGATGGTCCCCATGGTCCTTTCCAGTTCAGTTGCCAGTATTATTGGTCCTCGTTTGTCGCCCACTGTCGGCATGATGATCTCCAGCTGGCTGTTGTTGACCTCCTCATCCGGCTCCAGATTTCATGTGGCATTGCTCTGCAGTATACCACTCGCTGCCGCACTTCGTACATTGATTCTCGCTGTTCTTCTTGCTGTGACCTATTTTCTTATCTTGCCCATGATACTGACCTCTATTCTCCAGGCTCTTGCTCTTTGTGATCTTCTGGATATTCATCGGCTTCGTCGTACCCATCTTCTTATTCTTGCCAGTAGTCCTCGTCTCACCAATCTTCATCATCATATTGACCGTAGTAGACCATTATTCGTCTCCTTCATGTTGTTGATGGTCTTTGTTGTAGCCTTGATATCGATCGTAGCTGGCCGTCTCATTCTTCGAAATTCTTATCTGAAGGGCACTCATCTCGATATAGTGACAAGTCTCCTCCAACTTTGAGTCGTGAGTCGTGGATCTCAGAGCCGTCGTTCTGGTAGACCATGCTTTGCCGCTGTCGCCAATTTGGAGACCTCCGTGCTTCTCGGCTTCAGAACAGAGACCCTCCCATTCCATAACGTAATTTGAGAAATCCATGTCATAAGGTTTCGTGAAACAGAGCACTTGTCGAGACTGGTCCAGGCCAAATCCTGGTCGTCCAGATACTAGGGTTTCTTAAGCTTCGCGATCAAGACCTTGACTCCTGAAGGATAAGCTGGTGCAACCTGATGGCCGTTATGATCCATGACGCGGCTTGGGTGTCCAGAGGAATTGCTTCAAGTTCTTCGTAGCTGGCGTTCTGTCCTGTGCCGGGGCGTGGCCGCTGAATAGTCAAAGATTGAGCTATCCGTAGCGCACCTCCTTCCAGTCGATACATGATCGCATGTCCAATGTGATCTTGAGCCAGCCAGCTTGGTGAGTCATCCCCAGAACACGAAGTACTCTTTGTACTCTTTGATGGGGTAGGCCCTTGGCCTCCAACCTGGAGGCACATCCTTCGCATACTGTCGAAGATCAAGCCGGGAGGTTGCCGTTGTCTGCTGCATGTGCGAAGACCAATGTTGCGATGAATATTCCAACTCATTGATATCCGATGTGGGTCTCGAAACCAGTCCTGCAGTAGCTGTTGGTATCTGGTGTAAATATCGAAATCAAGTCGATCTGGTGTAGTAGCCTGACCAGTGCGCGCGCGTAAGCGGTGCGGTCTGTGGATGAAGCCTCCTTGGAGGCTCCGCTCCCAAACTCGGCATATCAATAGAAACCGTATCCCAGAAGGATCCAAGCTATGGATGATGATCAACTTCTTAAGTGTGGACGTTGAGATAACGGAATATATTTTGTTTTTTTAGTTATGCCATGAGGATGCAGTTCGGGTGTATACAAGCACAGGCGAATGAGATGCCCCAAGAAGCCTAAGTTTGGAACGCTAGTGAAGGGCTCCTAAGGGATCTTTACAGGGACCCGCTCGAGAAGCCTACCTTACATCCGAATTCTAACTAGAGGGGGCAGGGGAGGGGCGGGAGTTAGTGAGGAGAGGACGGAGCCTGCCGACTCCCCGCTCTTATCTTCTGAAATATGACATCGGTGCATGGGTCATCGCTGCAGGGAAATTAACAGAGGAGCCAGTGAGCGGAAGCAGGGGGCGCGAGAGTGAGGGAGGAGAGGGCTGGGAGGGGAGGGGTTAAGAGGGGAAGTGAGGGAGGTACAGAAGTTAGTATTCATATTTGTGCACACTAGCCGTCGGGGCGTCTGCCACCGCTGCATGATGGCCATCATATTGGTGATGGGAGGGGATGGGGCGAGGGGAGGAGGAAGAGGAGGAGAAGGAGAAGGAGAAGGAGGAGGAGGAGGGATGGGGTCCGTGCTGCTGCTCCCCCAGACTTTAGGAACCTCCACACCCTCCGAGATCCCTCCCAAGCCTCGGGGATCTCCACACAACCTTCAGGAAACTCCCAACCCTTTTCCTCCTCTCCTCTTCCCCTTCTCCCTCCAGCTGGGCTTGTGAGGGCGCCCGACTGCACTGGAATACTCCAGACCACGCCCCCTTCAAAGTTTCGGACGATTCCCAAGCCCTTGCGAAAGCCCAGGAGCCTTCCCGGACGACCTCACCCTCCGACGATTGTTTTTCAGAGGGCCTTTGAAAACATTCCAAAAACTCAGAGGAAGCCCGAAAGCCCCTGAGAGCTGCAGGACAGCATCTGAGAATTTCTGAAGACGTCCAGAACCGCCCGAGAGCCTGGAGGATAGCCGAACACCACCGAAATCTTCCAGGCCCCAGTCCCCAGGGCCTCCTCTTCCTCATCCTCCCATATACCTCCATCTTCCTCTGTGGTTCATCCTCCGTCTCCGTCCCTCGCCCTCGGTTTTCCATCCTCCGCCCCCGTCCGAGCTCGTCCTCCGTCCTCCTCCCTCCTCCGTCCTCCTCCGTCCCCCCCGTCCGCCCCCCGTCCGTCTCTGTGCTCCTCCGCGTCCTCCCCTGCGCTCCTCTGCGCCCTCCCGGGGTCGTGGGGGGGCAGCCGCCAGCCCCGCCCCCGCCCCAGCGGCGCCCATGGACGGCGTCGGCGGGAGGCCGCCGCAGCAGCAGCAGCACCACGCGAAGCAGGACCGGGCCGCCCAGCAAGGGGAGGGTGGCTGAGACAAGATGTTTGTCAAGACGCCGAGGGCGGTTTTATTCGTTGGAAGATCGACGTTCTGAACTTAGGTTCTGGGCGCCGTGGCTGTTACGTTTTCGCGGCCAGGATCGGCCCGCGCCCCTATCTCCACGTCAAGTGTACGGGCTCATTGCGTTTTCAATGCGTTTTCGATATATCACATTTCTGCCAGCCTGACGCCCATTTTCTGGGGTGCCGTTTTTGTACACGTGTTGGTCGAGTTTTGGCTTGGGGTTCCGACTCTCCAAGCACATCCGTGCCCTCCACAGACCCCAGAACGCTAGTGACTGCTATTCGAGCCCCTGGCTTCTCGCTCAGTGTTTTCGGACTCGGCCAGGCAACGGTCTTGGAGTATTCGCACCACGTGCGTAACCTGTATTGGGACAATTGCCCACCCTATCTTTGCAAAATGCCCACCCGATCTTTGCCGAGTGGGTGCCAATGCAGCCCTGGGAGACACCATCACCAAATACGTCGGGGTCCAAGGGTCCAAGGGTCCAAGGGTCCATGAGACTGCCTCATGACAGTCCTAAACGCACACTCCAGCGGCGCTCAGCCCGTTACTACCTCAGTTGGATGAGCGTTTCATTTACCCGCGCTAATTTGGAACCAAGCACCACAACGACTATGTGCTGGCGACTCCCTGGCCCTCTCAGCTCGCGGGTGGTTCTGAAGTCCCCACCGGGCTTGATACGGGGCTGGCTGAGTTAGACCAGTCCCGAGCGTGAGCCCCCTTCGAGGAACGGCTCCATGAGTGCACTTGCTACATCGAAACCACTTGCCCTAGCCAGCACCAGCCAGCCCGACCAGCCCATCCAGCCCACCCTGCCCGCCCGCAAACCTGCCAAGCAGCCCAACCCGTCCACCCCGCCCAACCCGCCACCGCACGAACCCGCCTACCCCCGCTGCCTGCCTCCGTCCCCCAAAGTGGGGGAGTGTTGCTTACAAGCGAAAATGGCTGTGAACCTGTCTTTGGGGACGAGGCTGGCAGCCAGGGGGGCCAACTTGCACCGCACCGTGTGGCCAGACAGCAATGGGTGAAACGCTGCGCCAGCTAAATTGATCAAGAGGAGGAGGAGGAGGAGGAGGAGGAGGAGGAGGAGGAGGAGGAGGGGGAAGGCGCGCCCACGCGCCGGACGGCGTATGGCTTGTGAGTGAGTGAGTGACCATGTGGCCCAGCCTCGGGGACGGGCGCCCAAACGACGGCCGGATGCTCCAGGTGTGATGCAGTCGGCCCGCGTAGGAGGGACGAGCAGTTCTCCAATCTTCCAAGGTGGCCCTTGCCTCCTGGCCCTTCGGCCCTTCCTGGGGCGCCCACGCTGGCCGCGCAGGGCCTCCCGGGGCCCTTGCCTCCTTATCGTGCGCCCTTCTTGTGCGGGTTGACTGCATCGTGCATCCTCATCGGGCGTCCTCCTCGTGTATCTTTTATTATGCGCGATATTGTCGTCACCCTCCGCAGTTCCCAAGCATCCCCGCTCTCGACGGGAAACTCCCGTCCTCAAACTGTCATCACTTTTTGGCCCCAGACTCCTCGCAGGGGACGCCCTGGGGGCTCGAGCCAGCACCGCGCCGTGGTGGACCGCCCCGCGGGGCGGACGCCCAAAAGACCATCCGGATATAATGATACGATGTCTAATTCAATAGTAATCACACCATGGGCAAAAGGAAAAATCAACCCAATAACAACGACAGCATCAACAACAACAACAGAAGTAAGTCCACAGATGCCCACACCTCGTGGGGATCTGAACAGCACAATGCCCTAGTTGGAGGCCCACAGTGTGCGAACACCAGCCGGCCACGCCATGCCAACCAGCTCACCCGCAGCCTCGCCGATCAGCCCACCCAGCCCAGCGCGGTGCCAGACCCACCAGCCCGCCTCCACCGCCTGCCCTCCATCCCCATCGCCGCCCAGGAGGGGAGAGCTCCTCACGAGCGAACACGGTGGTGAGCCCCCTTGCGACGGCCAGGTTGCCGGCCGGAGGGGGGCCCAGGCTCCAGGCCAGGGGGGGCGCGAAGACAGAGCCGCGCCTCGCCCTCGCGTGCTCGCTCGCTCCTCCACCTCAATCCTCCCTCTCACATTCCTGCGCTTGTAGTCCTCCATCCTCCTCCTCATCCCTCCTCCTTCTCCTCTCCTCCTATTCACTTCCCTCCTCACTTAATTTTCAGGCCTCGGGGCCGTCACAAAGCCGCCCAGGATACAATGCTGGTCGCGAATGAGCCACGACTTCAAAGGCGCGTTCGTGGGGGTGGAGCTCGAAGATCGAACCTGAAGGAACGAAGTCTTCGGTTGTTCCTGGCACCACCGATTTTCGAGAGCCTCCTGGGAACTCCCAGCAGCCTCAGGGGTGGACCTCCGTAGGCCTCCGCCTACTTTCGCGGACATCATGGGCTATATCCTGCGTTGTTTTTTGTTTCAACCCCGACGTTGATCGTCGAATTTGGCTTCGGGAGGTCGTTTTCAAACACACCAGCGACAAGCCGCGATAAGAGGAGGAAGATGATGATGAGGAGGAGGAGGAAAGGGAAGGGAAGGAGGAGGAGGAGGAAGAGGAGGAGGAGGAGGAGGAGGAGGAGGAGGAGGAGGGAACAGCGCGACGATCCAAAGAGTAAACTGCATCCAATTGGTTCTTACCCCCGCGAGGGGAGTTACGGGGTATGTTGAATATCGAGAAGGCCTGGAACGAAGACCCCGCTCGGAAAAGGAGCCATCTTCCATCCTTGTATTCGTGTCAAGTTCGGACGCTACGGCGAGAGCCCCATTTTGAGAAGGACCCTCCCTCCATCCTTGAAGCTGTCGCTAAGTTTCAGGACGCATGTGCGCGGCGCTGAGGCAATATCTCAATTTTGAAAAGTCCCCCCGTCATCCTTGTAAGCGTTGCAAGCTTTTCAGACTAATGCGCGCAGCTGTAAGGCGATAGCTCCAGTAAATCACCTATGCCCCGTTCTTGTAACTGGTGCGCGTTTCAAGTTTCAGGATTCTAAGTCGTGAGGAGGTCTTTGGGGAACCGCCCAGACTGCTCTACCGACACGCCCTGGGGTGCGACAGAAAGGAGTTCTCTATCTAATGGCCTTCGGTCTATCCCGCCACCGTGCCTGTGTTGTGGGTCAGAGTTCCCAGGGATGCTTCTTGGGGTCTAGCGCTCTCGGGGGACTCTTGGGGGCAGTTTTGTGACCTTTGGGGAGCCTCTTGGGGGCCTCTTGGGGGCCTCTTGGGGGCAGTTCCGCGGCGGCCTCTTGGGAGCCTCTTGGGAGCCTCTTGGTACTTTCTGGTTCCCCTCGGGGCCGAGGGCTCGAAATGTCCGTTCGGGTCCCCCGTCTGTGACCTCCCTTGGAGCCGCCTTTGGGGCCTCTTGGGCCGTCTTGGGCGCCTCTTGTGCCGTCTTGGGGCCCTCTTGGGCTGTTTTGGGACCCTCCTGGAGGACTCTTGGGCCGTCTTGGGGTGATCTCTGGGGCCTCTGCTGGGGCCGGTTGGGAGCGTCGGGAAGCCGAAAATGCGAGAACGCCAAAAGCTTGCAAAACTGATGGATGGAAAATACATGATTTTGGTCACGTGGGGCCCTCATGGGAGTCCTCTCGGAGGCCTCTTGGGGCTTCTTGGGCCTCTTGTACCGTCTGTCTTCTAGTCCCTCTGAACCCTTCGGATCGAGGACCGGGGCCCAGGGGATTGGGCAAAGAACCCCAGGACACGCCCACACCGTGCCCAGCGGCACGGTGGCGGATACGGAAAAGGGGTGGGGAAGAGAGGAAGGAGGCGGAGGAGGATGACGTCCTTCCGCCCAGATGCCGGCACAGCCACCAGCCAACATGCCGCTGCAGCAGGCGCAGGCGGCGCGGCTCTTTCCTTCTCCTGCCCTCTCCCTTCCTCTCTCTTCTCCTCCTCCGTCTCCTCCATCTCCTCCTTCCCACCTCCTCAATCCCCTCCTGCTCAATCTCCTCCTTCCACCCCTCCCCTCCCATCCTCCAGCCCCCTCCGCCCCCTCCTCCCCCTCCCTCTGCTCACTCTCCTTCTTCTGCTCCCCCTCCCTCCCCGGAACCAGAAACCGGGAATCGGGAGCCCGGAACAGGGAACCAGGAACGGTGAACCAGGAACCGGGAACCAGTATCGGGAGCCGGAAACCGGGAACCAGGAACTTGGAACCCAGAATCAGTAGACAGTTATTGCGAACCAAGAGTTGGGAACCGGGAGCATGGAGCTGGGAACCAGGAGTTAGGAACCGGGAGCCATGAATTTGGGAAATTGGGAGAGAGGGATAACGAAGGATAGCGATGTACATAAACGTCTACACACATACATATACATATAGATATACATGTCTATATATAGGCAGAGAGATACATGTATATACAGAGAGATAATAACAAAACGAATTAAAGAGTTTGATACATACATATATAGTTATGTACCTGAGTATGTAGACAGAGAGATAAGTGTGTACACAGTGTGTATATATATGTATGTGTGTGCACACGCGTGCAGTTACATATTCATATACATATGTATACAATTCGACAGGGAGGGAGATAGAGAGAGGGAGAGGTAGAGATGATGGCAGGACTACGCATGTGTATTTGTTTTCCAGATACCAACACATAAACATACGTAGGCAGCACACATATAATGATGTGTGCAGGAAACTAAGTGTAGATACGCCTAAAGGGACACACATGCGCATACATTTGTGTACACATGCCAGATAGCTCGATACAGAGGGATATGGCACTCCATCTATGTATCGAAACAGAAAGGGAGGCATCAATCAGGCGGAGGCACCAGTCAATAAAACGTGATGCCATATGTATACAGAGAAAAGGAATATGGATAAAGAGAGAGAGAGAGAGCCATACATACACTCGTATACATCTACCGATACAGATGTGTATTCTGATCTACGCGTACGTACATGCGTGCACGTTTACACAACACATGTACACATCTATGAATCTACACCGAGATGCATGTTGATACTTTTGCAAGACAAAAAGAGATAACAAGAGAGAGAGAGAAAGAGTACACACATCGAGAGAGAGAGAGAGAGCCAAGGAGGAAGTGACATAGAGAGAGAGAGAGAAATATAACGAGAGGGAGGGATAGAGAGAGAGCATACACATAGAGAGAGAGAGAGATAGCGAGATACATCGTATATATATGTATAGATGTGAACGGCCAGAGAGAGAGAGAGAGAAAGAGAGATATCGTGGAGAGAGAGGGAGAGAGAGAGAGAGAGATAGAGATAATGATAACGACCAACAACACATGTATAGTTATGAGGGGGAGAACGAGAGAGAGAGAGAAAGAGAGAGACAGAGAGGAGAGAGAGAGGGAGAGAGCGACAGACAACGCAAGAAGGAGATAAAGAGAGATAGAGAGAGCACGATAGCGATTGATATACACAAATGTGTATATATGCATTTGTATTCAACAAATTGCACCAGTCTGCATAGAAGCAAGCATGTGTCGAACTAAAGACAACTACCTTTCACAGAGGGAGAGATAGAACAAACTGAAAAGAGAGAGGGAGAGAGAGGAAGAGAGATAGAGAGAGCAATAGAGACTGATATACCGTGATTATGTCGTAGGTTTGGGGGTGAGATCGAAGTGGAACGGAGAGGCCCCCACCGGGAAATCGGTTTCGGTTTCGTGTTCGTGCGTGGCCGTGCGTGCGGGCGAGGCGAAGCTGCGTGGGCGGGCGAGGGGAAAGTCTCCTGTGGCTGAGGCGCGTGCGGACCAAATGATTCTCCCTCCGGCAAGCGGTGGCCCGCGGTGTCCCGCCGGTGTCCCGCCGGTGTCCCGCTTGTGGCTGGGTCCCGGCCGGACCAAATGATTCTCACTCCGGCAAGCGGTGGCAAGCGGTGGCCCGCGGTGTCCTGCCGGTGTCCTGCCAGTGTCCCGCCGGTGTCCCAGTGTCTAGCTGGTGCGAAAACGATAGTGAGACCGATGACGAAGTCGATTGTGAGATCGATAGTGAGATCGATAGTGAGACCGATAGCGAGATCGACCGTGAGATCGAGAGTGAGATCGATAGTGAGATGAATAGTGATATCAATAGGGAGATCGAGTGATATCGGTAGTGAGATCGGTAGTGGGATCGATAGCGAGATCCAGAGTGAGATCGACAGTGAAATCGATCGAGTGAGATCGATCGAGTGAGATCGATAGTGGGATCGATGGTCCCAAGAGCGAGCGGCAACGCAACAATCACCAATGTTGCCCATTGCTGGCCCCCCTCCCCCCCAACCTCCTTCTCACCCGCAGGGTGGTCGTATAGGTATGTATGTATGTATATATATATATATGTATATATATGTGTATATATATACAGACATACACATATATATACATATATATATATATATATATAAATATGAGTAGGCTGGGGTGGGGGCCCGGGCTGGTGCCATCATCCCCCATGGGCGCCCCCCAGAACCTTCTGCCCCGGGCCGCTTCCAAGTTTAGCGCGGCCGCAGAGATGCACCAGCCAACGCCGAGCACTCATCGCAATCGCCTTCGTACGGGTTTTGCAAACCAAGTTGCGTGTGGGTGGGTGGGATGCTTGCGCGAGCAGTGGAGTTGACACTTTCAAGTTCGGCAGGGTGAATTGCACCCCTAGATTGCACCGCGTATAGTGCACAACATATACGGTTAAACGCACATGTGTTGGGGCCCGCGTTGGCTAACAGCATGCTTTCTAGGTGATAACTCATCTGCAACAATAATTTTAGGACTGTTCGCTCTTATCCGCTCGCGTGCCAGTCAACAAGTGTATCCCAAGGTTTGCATACCCGCCATCCTCGTCTTCGACGTACCCCCCTGAAGGGTATATCTGCGCGTAATTGGCAAGGGCGAGGAATGGCGAGGAATGGAAAGGGAAGGAAATGCGAGAAATGGGACCAGGGGGAGGGTGAAGGATTTCTCATACATATATATATATATATATATGTATGTTCATATATTATCAACAGTATCATTCGTATTATTATTTGTGCTCATCTTATGCTTCATCTTATTATTCATCTTTTCTTCTTCCTCCACATCCTCCACATCCTCCACATCCTCCACATCCTCCACATCCTCCACATCCTCCTCCTCCCCCTCCTCCTTTTCCTCCTCGTCCGCCTTGCGGTTCTCTCCCTGCTCTCTCCTCCCATCCCCCCCTTCCCCCCTCCCCTGCTTGAGCCAGGCCTGGTGTGCAATGGCGTGCGCGGTGGAGCGCAAACCCAAATGCCCGGCCCTTCCCGTGCGAGGAGCTTGGGGAGCCGTCGGGCTGTCCCCGGGCCGCGGCGCGAGGGAGGGAGGGAGGGATGGATGGGAAGGAGAGAGGGAGGGGAGAAGGGCGAGGGGAGGTGGCAAGGGCGAGGAGGACGAGGGGGAGCAGGAGGAGAAGGGTTGCGCTTCCTGTCTCCGCAAAGAAGGGCAGGGCAAGGAGGAGGAGGAGGAGGAGGTCACAGGGTCGGGCCATTCCCGCGTCATTACCTCGACGTTCCCACTGGCAGCATTGAGCTTGTTCGTTTTCCGCGGTCGCTTCGCTCGGCCGTCGTGGTTTCGCTGATCCGCTGCGTGCGCATGTCCTCTTCAAATTATGTTGCCAGTCGCAGCTTTCAACAGCGTCAGTCCGTTTGGCCAATGGCCGACCTTTGCTTGTGACATTTGTTAGTGCTTCCTCGATGTGCGTCTCGGCTGTGAGACGTCGCGATATCCCTGGAGGCATGCGACACCCTTGTCGAAGTGCGTGCGTGTGGACTCAGATTTGCGCTGTGATGGAACACGGTGATCAGGAGAGGTAGCTCCGTCGCGATCGTTTTCATGTGGTTGACATCATGTGCAATCAAACTGGGCCTCATTATGTGTTCCCTTCTCTTGCGTGTCTCATTCTATCCTCATTGCATTTCCCCTGTCCCTGTTCATTGGGAATGGTCGCCAGGTGCTGACTCAGGCGGGCCCTTCGGCAGTATCTGTACCGCCAGACTTGGCCGACAGGCGTTCGGGTGGGAAAGGAGCAGAAATTATGATGTTCATGGAGGGAGCACGGGTACGCGGGGAGAGGGTACAGGATACTTTACTGAGGGAAACCAGGGCGGTGTGAGTGGATGCAGTGGGGTGATAGGTTTGCGTGTGTACTCAAGAGGCCTACGCCATTCCGCCGACCCCGCGAGAATGAGGGAGAAGGATGAAGATCATGCAATGGACGACGACGAGGACGACGACGACGACGACGACGGTGAGAGTAAGAAGCAGGATAGGGAGGAAAAGGAGGAGAAGGAGGAGGAGGAGGAGGACGACGACGACGACGACGAGGACGACGGTACAGTTTTTTATGTACTGGGGCCCCTGTCGAGGTCCCCCTCGCGGAGCCTCTTTGGGTCAAGTGAGTCCTTCAGGAGTTGCCGCTGAGGCCTTTCTTTTTCTTTATTCCAAGTTGGTCGGGGCGGACTCCTGGGAGAGGTGGTGCGGGAGGGAGCCGGCTCACGCCCCGAAGACGCCGCAGGGCTTGGTGGATGTTCGCAAGCAGACATGCTTATTGACTCCTCTTGGAGGCGGGTTTGGGGTGTCTCGGTGGCCTCCTGGGGGACTTCTGGGTGTCTTTGGGGCCCCATTTGGGCCTCTTGGGGGCCTTCTCGGGCTTCGGGGGACATTCTGGGACGGAGGGCTCGATATGTCGGCTAAACTGTTCCCCTCTTGTGGCTCTGTTTGGGCCCTCTTGGGACCGTCTTTGGCCGTCTTTTGGACCTCTTGGGCCATCTTCGGGCCGCCTTGGGCCGTCCGGGGGCGCCTTCTACGGCCTCTTGGACTGTCTGGGGGCGATCTTGGGGGCCTTCTGGGCCGTCTTGGAGCGTCGGAAGCCCGAAAAGGCGAGAACGGTAACATCTTCCAAACACCTCGGGGTATGGGTCATCCGTGATTTTGACTTCCGGGGGGCATCCTGGGGGTCCTCTGCTGCTTCGGAATCTTCGGCGATTCGTTTGGCTTCTCTTCGGCTACTCTGGTGCCCTCTTAGAGTCATCTTGAGCTGTACGGCCCGGGAAACTCCAAACATCAAAAAGAAGCAGCTGGCATCCATAAGTGTTTACATGAGTTTGATGCTCCTTGAGGGCCTCCCGTCCATCGTTTTTATGTCTTGAAGGCCTCTTCGGGCCCCTTCGGCGACTCTTGGGGTCTTCTCGGGGGCTGCCAGGTGACTCACGAGGCAAACTTCGGGCCGCCCAAGAAGCCTCAGGAGGGAGGGGTGATGCATACGGCCCTGGCGTGAGGATAGGGGGAAGGGGCCTTACACTACTTAGTACAGAAATATTGCCAGACAGCACTGTGCATTCTACCACGCCTCGGCATGCCAGGGGGCACAGTGGCGCATACAACTCTGGATATCTGCTGAAAGCACCGCACTAGAACAGCAAGCGTGGCAAAACACGGGGAGGGGTAAACCTTGGCCGCGCCCGTTCCCTGTCATCCCTCGGCTGCATCTGTTTTCCCTCATTCCCTCCTCACTCTTCACCTCCCTTCTCAAACATAGGCCCGCGGAACAAGATGTGGCCAGAATTTCGAGGGGACGCCAGCCGTGGCGACGAGAAGCCTCCCAGGGTCGCAAAAGGGCCCAACTCAGCGCCTCGATCCTCAATCCGCCTCCCTCCGCTCCCCCACCTCCCCAGCGGGTCTGGGGCTTTGGGGGGAGAGAGCGCGCGCGGCAGTGCGCACAGAGGAGTGGGCTAGGGAGGGAGGGAGGGAGGGAGGGGAGAGGAGGATATGTAGGAGGAGGATGAGGAGGAAGAGGAGGAGGGAGGGGGGGAAGGAGGGAGGGAGGAAGGAGGCGGCGGCGCCGGACGGTGGAATGGGCGTTCCAGCCGTTCTCAATCATAGCTCCAACTTTGGGAAACCCATGGTACGACGGAGGGAAAGCGCACAAAAGAGCAGGTAACGAAAACGAGGATAAGCCTTTTGGCCACAATATGGCCGTGAAAGACAAGGGCGCCGCGCGTTGGCGGCGCTTCTCTCTAGCAGCTGCTCGATTGGCCTGGATTCGAACATGCTGCGCTTTGTGATGAGGGGGGTAGGGAAGCGAGGGAAGGAATGAAGAGGGGGTCCCAGACATGCCGCGTCCAGCCTCTGCCTCTGCCGCCTCTGGTGTCTCCTCCTTCTTCTCCTCCTCCTCCTCTGTCTCCTCCTCCTCCTCCTCCTCCTCCTCCTCCCCTCCTCTGTCTCCTCCTTCTCGCCTCCTCCTCCTCCTCCTCCTCCTCCTCCTCCTCCTCCTCTGTCCCCTCTGTGTCCTCTGTCTCCTCGTCCTCCTCGCCTCCTCGTTCTCATCGTCTGCCTCCTGCGGCGTCTCCTCTGTCTCCTCCTCATCTGCCTATTCCTCTGCCTCCTCCTCCTCCTCCTCCTCCTCCTGCTCCTCTGCCTCCTCTGTGTCCTGGGTCTCCTCTGTGTCCTCTGTCTCTTCCTCCTCCTCCTCGCCTCCTCCTCCTTCTCCTCCTCTGCCTCCTCCGGTGTCTCCTCCTCTGCCTCCTCCTTCTCGTCCTCCTCCTCCTCCTCCTCTGCCTTCTCCTCCTTCTCCTCCTCATCCTTCTCCTCCTCCTCCTCCTTCTCCTCCTCCATCTCCTCCTCCTCCCCCTCCTCCTCCTCCTCCTTCTCCTTCTCCTCCTCCTCCTCATCTTCCTCCTCCTCCTCCTCATCGTCCTCCTCCTCTGTCTCCTTTCTCATCCCGCCTCTCCTTGCCCCCCTCTCGCCGTGCGCGTGGCGCAGGCTGGCCCAGACCACGGGGCAAGGGCGCGGCCGCTCCACGTTCACCTTCGAGATGATCATCGACAGGCTCCATTCCGACGCTTGCCCTCCCCCCGAGGGAGTCAAAACAAAAACGTTTTATATCTATAGACTTTCGGAGCTGCGCGGATTCTTTGGATCGGCGCTGAAACCTGTTGGAGGCGCCTCCAGCGTCGCCCCTGGCGCGCGCCAGGGAGGGGGTCCAGCGCCGATCCAAGAAATCCGCGTGGAGCTCTGAAAATTTGTGTTTATGCCGGTGTTCGTTTTCAGAATGAGGGTCAGGAGGAGGGTGACGAGATTCGAAGTTCGGGGTTCGAGGTTTTCGGGCGTTCTTGGTCTCTCGTTTTCGGGCTCTGGAGGACTCCAAGGGGAGGAGAGGGGAGGAAAGGACGGGGAGGATAGGGAGCATGGGGAGGATTGGGAGTGGCGAATGGGAAAGACGAGGAAGACGATGGGCGAGATGAAGATGGGCAGTTCTTATCTTCGCCACCTCCAGTCCGCATCCGCTACTTCCAGACCTCAGGCCCCTATCCTGAGGACAATCCGCACCATGACGACAGGCTTCCCCCAGCTCAGTCCCCCCCTGGCAGTCTACTCCATGCGCACAGGCCTCATCCAAATCTGCCCCACCCCCCCCACTCCCCCTCATTCCACATGGGGCCATCCAGGTCAGTTCCCGCCAGCGCAGGAATCATGGCTTGTGCGAAGACTTAGACCCACGTGCCTTGTCTTTATGTAGGGATTGGGGATTGCGATGGGCCACGGGAACACGCATCATGCTCAGGACCTGTGGCCGTTGCCTGCACAGGCTCTATGATGAATCAGCCGAGCCTGCTGCAATGGATCCTCGTCGCGCGCCCCTGCCGCGCACGGCGCGGCCAATGGTTTTCCAGATGGCTTTTTGTTGAGGTCACACACGGAGCGATGTCTGATGCGAGGGATTGTCTCAGGCTCGAGCGTCGTCAAATTTTCGTAAAGGTGCTTGCTGCCAGACTTGCCCACTTCTGGTTCCCTCTTCCTCGCCCTGACCCCTTTCCCCTTCATCCCGTTTACAGATGACTCCTGCCTGCCGCACCCCCGGGCGTGTCGATAGGGCGGGCCATGCTTTTCGCCTGATATTTCTTCACCAATAATCATACTGAAGCTTGACATGTTGCAACAGTTGCACCGATGGAGGGAGGTGGTTTTCACAATAAAGGTCTAGCGTCTAGCCCTGGCGCCGCGCAAATTCGTTCTAAATGCTTGCGAGGGTTACACGGACGGAGTGGAGGTCGTTGTCAAAAAGGGTCAGAACGGGGCTCTCGCTTTTGCGCCGCTTTCATTCGTTGTGGCAATGTGCAACTGTTCCAAGGATGGAGAGCGGTTCTTTTTCAACATGGGACTCTTGCATGTAGTGCCATCCATGTAGTGCAATATGTGTGGTGCGATCTGCGTTGTTCCATATACGTAGCACCCCGCAGTTGCGGATCAGAGTGAGGGGGCGGCGGGAATGTCGGCAGTCTGCGAGGCTCTGAAGAAGCCCGCCGCATGCGTCTTTTTTTATACCTTATACAATGAGCCCGCCACAGGCGCCGATTTTTTCGTTAACGCGTTGAGGGTGGGTCGCGGGTGCGTCACGGGTTGGTCGCTGGTGGGTCGCTGGAGGGTCGCGGGTGGGTCGCGGTTGGGTCGCGGGGTGGGTCGCGGGTGGGTCGCGGGTAGGTCTCGGGTGGGTCGCAGGTGGGTGGCGGGCCGGGTCGCGGGTTGGTCGCGGGTGGGTCGCGGGTGGGTCGCGTGTGGGTCACAGGTGGGTCGCGGGTGGGTCGCGGGTGGGTTTCGGCTGGGTCGTGGGTGGGTCGCGAGGTGGGTCGCGGGTGGGTCGCGGGTGGGTCGCAGTTGGGTCGCGGGTGGTTCGCGGGTCGGGTCGCGGGTGGAACGGCGACGACAACAAACAAGGCAACAACCACATCAACAATCCGCACCGCGGAACCTCACTTCAGCCACGCGCCCAGGGACAGTGAATGACCGTTCGGCCCCCTCACTCTGATGTGGTGCAACATATTTCGTGCAATCTATATGGTGCAATCTACGTGGTGCAATCTGGGTGGTGACGGGCGGCGACGGGGCGGCGACGGCGGCCTTAGGGCGGCGGAACCGACGTCAGGCCCAGACGAGGGGTGGCGACGGGCGGCGACGGCGGCCACATTGGCGGCCACATGGCGGTCACATGGCGGCAACATGGCGGCCACATGGCGGCCAGAGCGGCCTGCAGGCCCAGGCGACGGGCGGCGACGAGGCGGCGATGGCGGCTACATGGCGGCCAGAGCGGCCTGCAGGCCCAGGCGACGGGCGGCGACGAGGCGGCGACGGCGGCCACATGGCGGCCAGAGCGGCCTGCAGGCCCAGGCGACGGGCGGCGACGAGGCGGCGACAGCGGCGACATGGCTGCCAGAGCCTCCCGCGGGCCTAGCTCTTTAGAAGACACGTGACACTCCTGAGTACAAACGCTGTCTGGGGGAGATGGGACTTTCGCTCGAGACTTCCTCGGAGCTCATGGCCAGGAGTGTAGGAGGGGGCAACATTTACACATATTGAGGGCGGTCCATTCTCAAAACAGGGGCCTCGCTGGACACCTCGTTCAATTGTATGATCATACCTTCTCACATCCCATGCCATTCGCTAGGATGCTGCAAGGCTGTTCCGTTTCAGCACGGGGCTCTCATTTGAATGACAGGCACACGGGATGTTGGTCCTTCAAGGGGGCACGTTTTGTAGTGACCAGGGAGGCCTGCATGGACTTGCGAGGAAGGGATCTGGGACGGGATGGTTTATAACAGCATCGTTGACACATGCGTAGTGGGCTTACCCTGGACCGCCTCCTTCCCATTTCCCCCTTTTCCTTTCATACCTGCACATTCAGATTACTACTTTCCGCTCTCCTCTGTATGTCTAGCTTCGTTCCCACCTTTCCACTTGATGGTTTTCAACGCCGGATTTCAGACATATAGTTATGCTTTATTCAGGACGTCTCTGGTCCTTTACGATGGTGCTCCCGCTGCAGCTTTTGCTCCGTTGAGCCCGCAGGACGGGAGCCATCCCCTTCTGGAAACGAGCCCGAGCCACCACATCTCGCGATCACGGATGAGGAAGAATAATAATAATAAGAGAATGAGGAGGAGGAGGCGGAGGAAGAGGAAGAGGAGGAGGAGGAGGAGGAAGAGGAGGAGGAGGACGACGACGAAGATACAGATGCATGGTGGCGTACACGGAGGCGTTTTAGGGTCTCTCTTGGGGCTTCTTGGGGGCCTCGTATGGGCCTCTTGTGGGCCTTTGGGGGGCTCTTGGAGCCGCGATCACTCTCACCCCCTCAGGACCTTGCGAGCCTCCGTGGCCACCTGGAGCCGTCTTGGGGCGGTCTTGGGGCCTCTTGGGAGCATCCAGGAGGCTATCTTGAGCCGTCTCATGCAATCTTGCGCCATCTTGGAGGCCAGCTTGGGGCACCCAGAGCCATCTTGGAGCTATCTTCGGCCATCTCGAGGCCTTCGAGGGGTCGTCCTTCTTGACCCGTCTGGGGGGCGCATCCAAGGCCAAAAAGCAGCGCTAATGGGAGTACGCGAGCTCTTCCCCCTACGATTCGCTGGCTCATCAGCTAGCAAGCTGTGCACATATTTCCTGGCAAATCATCTTACGCGGCACAGGGCCTGCAGAGGGGCCCGCCGTAATATTGACACTTGCCAAGTCCCCACCAGCCCATCCAGAAACGAGGCCCAGGCGTGCTGTCGGGGAGATGGACAGAAATGCGCACATAGTGAAACATAGAGGCCACACTCGGAGCCTTTTGGGTCCTCTCGTGGCTCTCTTGAGGCCCTCTTGGGGGTCTTTCGGCGCTCTCGGGACCATCTCGGGATCCCGACATATCGCATCTGAATGCCCTCTCGAGCGCTGTTGCGCGTTCCTAGGGCCCTCGGGGGTTCCTTCGGGTCCCAGGGCGCCCGCTGGCTCCTGGCTGTCTCCACTAGACTGGGGGTCCGCGACGGGGAGGATGAGGAGAGAGGGGGCGAACGATGGGGAGGAGGAGAAAGCCGAGGAGGAGAAGGAGGAGGAGGAGGAGGACGAGGAGGACGAGGAGGCCCTAGATGGGTGTGGGATTCTTCGTCCCCCGCGTTGCCCAGGGTTGCCCGAGTAATACCAAGCAATGCCGAGCACCACCAAGCAATGCCAAGCAATGCCAAGCAATGCCAAGCAATGCTAAGCAACGCCAAGGACACGGACAAGGGTACGGCTTGCGTCATGCATTGCGCGGGTGCTGCAGGGTGGGACCGAAGCGCCCATAAAGACCAGAGAAAAGGTGAAACAGCAAGGGAAGATAATCATTACCGAAAACATGATGCGTAGAAGGCCGGCCTGTCGCTCACTGGGTGGATTCGTTGTTGCTTGCCGCAGACGGTTTGTATCCAACGCGATGGGAAGTAGCAGAAGCCGGAAGAACAACAAAGACCGCCAAGCAACGCCAGGCAATACCATGCAGCGCCAAGCAGCGCCAAGCAGTGCCAACCAGTGCCGAGCAATGCTAATGAGGAGGAGGAGGAGGAGGAGGAGGAGGAGGAGGAGGAGGAGGAGGAGGAGGAGGAGCAGGGGGAAGGAGGATGGGGAGGAGCGAGGCACTGAGGCTCTGGGCGCCCCGTGCAGGAACTCCTCGACCCGCCTCGGCATCGACGTGATACTCGCCCACGGGGGCACCACGGCGAGACGGGGGGGGGGCGCCTGCCTGCCTGGCACCGGGGCGCCGCGAGCAGCAGCCAGGCGCGGAGGTTTTCGGCCGCTTTCGGGACCCAGGCTGGCTTCCATCGGCTGCGCCTCGTCCAGGTCGCTGCCGGGAGCCCGTGATCGGCCGATCGGCCGCCTGGGCCCCCAGCCATGGACCGAAAGCAGTGGGGCGCGCAACGGGGGTCAGCGTTGACCGATCGTGTAGGTTCGTCGTGCAGGCAGATGTGTGATTGATCGTTGTTGCGTGCGCACTCGTGCAAACGCACCAGGACTTACACGCTCGTGCGCGTGCTCGCACGTGTGATCGTGAGTATCGCGTTCGCGTATGTCGCCAGGCGCACCTGTCCCCCGCGCCCCCGCGTCTTTTTCTCACTTGCTCGCTTTAGCCTGCCCCTCGCCCGCGATTGCACATCTGTGACAGGAGACCTGGTGCGCGTTCGGCATCTTCGAATGTATTATACTTCGAGCCGTTCGGTTACCGACCGAGTGTAGACTCAACGCCGTGGAAACAGTCAAAGCGTCGCTCGCATGGTTTCTCAGCGTTTCTCACGCTTCTGCTCGTGAGCGCACAAGCGCACAAGCGCACGCTCTGCGGCACGCTCAGCCGCCCTCTCCATGTTTCCTTTACCTCTCGCGCGTTGTCCGTCCACGCTCATCCCATGTATGGCCGCCTTTACCGCTGGCTTTCCTCGTCCTTTCCATGCTCCTTCCTCCCCCTCCAGCACCAGCACCAGCAGCAGCAGCAGCAGGAGGTGCAGGAGGATCAGGGGAAGGAGGGGGATGAGCAAGAAGAGGAGGAGGAGGAGGAGGACGACGACGACGCAGAGGAGGAGGCACCCCCACCCCCACCCCCTCGCCCTCGTGCCTATTCCTCCTCCTCCTCCTCCTCCTCCGCCTTTTCCTCCGCCCTCTCCTCCTCGTCCTCGTTCTCGTCCTCCTCCTCCTCCTCCTCCTCCTGCTCCTCCCCCTTGTCCTCGCCCTCAACCTCCTCCTCCTCCTCTTCTTCCACCTCCTCCTCCTCCTTCTCCTCCCCCTCCTCGTCCTCATCGTTCCCCTCCTCCTTGTCTTCGTCCTCCTTCTCCTCCCCGTCCTTTGAACTTTGTGACAGGTCTTTGGCTCGGTCGTGGGACGTCGAGACGCAATCAGCAGTGTCGAGACCGCCCCTGGCGACCGCAAAGGCCCCCAGGCCTTTCTTGTGGCCCTAATCGGCCGTGTTGGGGTGTTCGGAGCTCCTCGTTGGCGCCGCTTCAGCCGTCAGGGTGCCCTCTGGTGCCGTCATGGGGCACGGTTGGGAGCCTCTGGAGCCGCAGCGGGGCCGTCTTGGGGGCCTCTAGGACGAGCTTGCCCCGTCGAGAAACAGAACAGGCTGGGTGGCCAGAAACCTCGGAGAAAACATGGGAGAAGCTAGGGTTTGAGCCTCTGGGGGTTATCTCCCAAGTGGGCGTAGGCAAATTGGCGGTGCTCGGTTGCGCGAGCGTTCAGTTGCGACTGGTTTGGGTGGAGCAAAGGGCTAGCCGTGCGCGGGCTTGTCGTCCTGCGGCAGTACTTGTTGGCGTGAACCGTTTTTCACATGGGTTTGGCTCGTAGTAAATCAGATGCGCGCGACCCAGACGATCAGTTGATTGCACCGCAATGGGGCGAATCCAATGCCGCTTTGTTTCGGGGCTCAAGCACCTTCATAGTCCTCCCCTCCGTATCTGCTTGTGTGCTTGCGAAGTCCAATCGTTCGCTCGCGTCCGACTTACGTGGGGCAAGCTGTTAGCGTGGGCTGGCCGCCTTGCGTGAACAGTGGTGCCAGTGGGTTCTCAGCTGTTGTGCAACCTCTTTCTCCTGCGTTTCCTCCTCCCCCTCCTTTTCCTCCCCCTGCTTCTGCCATGCGCGCGTAGCCGACTCCAAGCATCTGACCACCCAGCGCGCCAGCGACGGCCATAACGCAATACTATACACCAGCCTTCTTGTGCATCTTAGATCGGTGGCCGCTTACGCGACAAGCGAGCGAGTTCCTCCATCTCCTCGTGCGCTTCCACCCCCATCCACTACTCCTGCTCTTCCTTCCTTGACGCGTTGGGACCGGGCAGGCCTGCGAGGGGCTACTCGTCGAGCGCATCTCCGAGGGGGGGTCCGTGGATCTGTGGAACCAGGCGTGGGGCCCTTCGGCCGCAGATTCCGCTCCCGCGCCGAGGGAGGCCGGTTGTTAAGTGTTGCGTGTCTTTCGACCTTGCTCGCCGCCCTCCCCCTCCATGGAGGAAGGAGGACGAGGAGAGGGAGAGTGGAAGAGGACGGAGGAGGGCAGCTCATGATGCATTCGAGGAAAAAAGAGGATGAGGTGGTGGAGGAGGAGGAGGAAGTGGAAGAGGAAAAGGAGGAAAGGAGGAGAAGGAGGAGAAGGTCAAGAGGTGGGGGGGGGAAGAGGAGAAGGAGTGGAGTGGAGTGGAGTGAACGCCGTGACGATGTCATAAGGGTGTATTGAAATTGCTCACGCTTCGCGAATCCCCACCAGCCCATCCTAAAGCAGCCAGTCTAGGTAATAGTACCGTCTAACCAGAGACGATACTCAGAGGATTTGCCTCGATCTGGGAAGTGGGCAGCACACAGGAAGGATCCCTCTTGGAGTGCTCTTTGGACACTCTTGGGCGCTCTTGGGGCCGTCTTGGGGCTCTCTTGGGCCTCTCTTGGGCCTCTCTGGCGTCTTTGGGGCTTCTTGGCGGTCCCAGGGGCCTCTTGGAGCGTCTCTGGGAGCCTCTTGGGGCCTCTTGGGGATCTCTTGGGAGCCTCTTGGAGGCCTCTTGGGCGCCTCATGGGCCCTCCTGGGCGCCTCTTGGGGCCCTCTGGAGGCGCTCTTGGGAGCCTTGGGAGCGCTATTCAGGCCATCTTGGCGGCCACGGCTCAAAAGTGAGCGCGGCGTCAATTAGGGTCCCCACTCTAAAGTGAGCTGGGCGTTGCATGTGAGTGGGAACGATCGTGCATCCGCGGCTGCTTGGCTCAAAGCGGCCGGCCGCCCAGATCTGACTACACATCAGCGCGAAGTGTACGATTTGCCATCGGTACCACAACACTGCTTGAGATGGCTCGCCCCCTACTACTGGGACTATCGTTACTACGGTACAACAGAGCGGGAGCTCGGCTTCGCCTAAGGCGAAGCTGTTGGTTGGGCCTCCCAACCCCTTTCAAACTTGGTAGCGGAGCTGGCCTATAGTGGTCAGCTCTTGCTCTATTCCTCACCATCCACGGCACTATCTGGTGGACTACAGACGTGGTGGAACATCAGGGTGCAGTGGGTTTGCGCGGAAAAATGTCTATAACTATGCAGTATAGCAAGGACACTTGCAGTGACGCCTCTGCTCGCGCGGAGGCCTCTTACTTTCGTCCTACATCCCTGCGCTACTACACTCTTGAAGTCCACCCACCTACTCCAATTGGAAGCTACTTCGAAGACATAATGCATGGAAACATGCGATACGACATTGTGCCGCCTCCACCCCCACGCAGGCTTACGACCACACATCGAAAACCCCAACCGACTACATCCGACCACGACCTGCGAGGCCATTGGATTGGTATTATTATCTTTGGGCTCACAGGGGTCGCTATCGGGCGCGCGGTAGGACATATGTGTGGCGGAGACGACACAAGAACGACCGGCCCCCATTGTGGCCCAGCCGGTCAAGTTCCTTTCCGCGAAATCGCCCGCGAGGTACATGCCTGCATCAACGTGGCCACAGGCAACATGACGCCCTCCCAGCAAGCTGCAGCCCTGCAGCGAGGTTTGGGAGGCCTCGCACGGACCATAAGAATGAGAGTCCCCCAGCAGTTATCAATTTTGGCGTTAACATAGATGGCCGCCATACCGACGGCGTCACCTACATCATGTTCCTCTTAAGCACGAAGTTCGAGAATTTAGAAGAGCAGCGCCAACTCAACTCTGGCACAGCTCTCATTGACTTCCGAGTTCATGCGGGAGAACGAATCGACCAGACGTTGGCTCGCTTCGAGATAGCCCGCTATGAAGCTGAAACGGCAGGCTCTGACATCCCCAACTTACAAATCTTAGCAGTTATGTTATTCAGTGCTCTTGGAGTGGGGACGTCGCGCGCACAGCAATTCCTGCAGCCACTAAACCACCGCATGCCGAGAGACCAGCAACAATTTGACGCTCTACTTGAACGCATGAGGCCATATGCACACATTGTTGAGAAAGGCCCCTGGCAATATTGGTGGTATTTTCAGTCACGGTCACCGAACAGAGACCTTCACGCTGAGGCAAACGCAGGGCAACCTGCAAATAACGCCTGGAATGACGATCCACAACCAACTGAGACCACTACACTACTGGCTCAAAACGGTGGATCGGTTTTGGGGTCGCAAGACTCTTGGGCCAGGGGGTGCCGCCCGACGCGGTATCCCCCACGCAAGCCACAACCATAATGGGCTCAGCGGGGCAACCTGCCGAGTCCGACTTCGATTCCGGTACTGACACCGACGCGTGTTCGGACGACGATGCCACAGCCCTTGACTTACTCCGATGTGCCTACATACCTCACGGAAGAGCAACAGGCACATTGGTTATTCTTAGGATACCAGAAACATAAGCGCATATGGAGGCGATTTATGAAGAAGCCAGTTCGCAAGGTACGGCGTATCGTCCGACGGGCACTCAAGGGACAAGGCAAGGGTCGAGGTATGGGTAAAGGTAGGCGTCGGCGATTGCATGGCAGAGGCATATTGGAATCCCTAACATCCCTTACTGGGCCACACTATGAAGAGATATTCCTAGGGTACCCCAGTGGCCCCAGCGCGGCAAGTCGTTTATCTAGGCAGTTGTCTGAACGCAGAAACCACCGCCAAGCTGGAAGTGCCGCGTCGCTTCGGAAGGCGCGTGGCGCGCTCAGTGCGTTGCAGCTATGTTGGGCACGCGCCAACAATACGAAATCTAGGAAATTCGAGCTATTGTGCCCCCAAAATCGTTGTACGATCTATAAGCAGTCTGGTTGTCAAAAGCTGACAGAGAGATTTGTTGTAGTTTCGACGCGCAGTACCTCAGGCACTTTTGCCGCATTCCACAGGGATGCGTTCGAGAGTTTCCAGCGGCCAAGTTTGGAACACATGCCGAGCTCGCCGTCTCAGCGGGTCTCTTTGTGAGACACAGGCTTCGCTGCACAACGATATCACAAGGTTTTCAGCAGACCACCCGCTGCGAACTGTCGCGTGCCAGCCCAGATCATCGTCATCTCGGGTTTGGGAGAAATGCCGGTAGAGAGTCAGACCGAAACGACAGTGGGTTTCGCGTGGTTATAAGCCTCTTCCATAACAAGCGTCCTGAGATGGTCCCTCCCTTTCCTCGCCCCCCCTCCTTCCTCCCCCTTGTTTGCGCTACCATATTTCAAAGAGTTGCTGTGCATGCGATTAAGATTCGCATGTTGATACATATTTAACTGTACATGAATACATTTTATACGAACATATCTATACACACATAACACAATGCTCTACTTGTTCTGCTTGTGCGCAGTTAAGCGCCTGGCTGCTCTTTGCCGTTGCTCCTGCAGGTTTCGCGTCACGGCGACCCGATACGTCTGGCGGGGTGGAGCATTGCCGCGTTGTGATCAGACCCCCATCACTCGGCAGATGTCCATAAGTTTCGCGCGGGTAGATTCGGCCCTGGAGTCGCAAGAATGAACGCCGTATTTCCAAAGGGCCAGCTGCTCAGCAAGATCTCTGGCGAGCAGACCGTCGCGAATGCATTCATGCTCGCAGTGCCCAGCTGAAATGCTGCTGTTGGGCAACAAGTTCGTTGCGTTTTGCGTTTTGCGTGTTGTTTGTGTTTGTTCGAAAATGTGTGGCACGGGCGCACGTTTGAGAGTGAGCGACGTGCATACGACTACGGGACCACACTAATCAATCGAACCATTTACACCACACTGGATCATGTGTAGTTACTTATCTGTCTACCTCTTCATTTTCTCACATGAACTTGTCCTTCCGTCTTCCTCCGTGCTGTTCTATGCTTCCGATCCGTGTATCCCTCCTCCTTCCCTCGCTCCTCGTCCCCTCTCTCTTCTCCGCTGTTGGGCAACAAGTTCGTTGCGTTTTGCGTTTTGCGTTTTGATTGTGCTTGTTCGAGAGTGTGTGGCACGGGCGCACGTCTGAGAGTGAGCGACTTGCCTACGGACGCACACTAATCAATCGAACCATTACACCACATTGGATCATGTGTAGTTACTTGTCTCTCTACCTCTTCATTTGCTCACAGGAACTTGTCCCTCCGTCTTCCTCTGTCCTTTCCTATCCTTCCGATCCGTGTATCCCCTTCCTCTCTCCCTCGCTCCTCGCCCCCTCTCTCTTCTCAATATAGCTAAGGCCTTACGGCCAGTGCCGCCGACCCTGATGACGACGACGACGACGAATACGAAGAGGAGGATGAGGAAGAGGGGGATTAAGGTGGATGGGAGCAGGAGAGGGCGAAGGAGATGTTCCCCATGTGGGCCGAGGGAGTCGTAGCAGAGACAGACAGGGAGCCTTGTGGCCGGCGGCCCTTCCCGCCTCCGTGCTGGGGTTGTGGTTGAAAGGCCTCTTGGATGTTTTCGGGCCTGTTGGGGCCTCTGGTTGGCCTCTGGTTGGCCTCTTGGGGGTCTCTTGGGGGCCTCTTCGGGCCCCTTGAGGGGCTCCTGGGGCCTTCCCTCCCTCGCTCCTCGTCCCTCCCTCGCTCCTCGCTCTTGGGGCCTTCCCTCCCTCGCTCCTCGTCCCTCCTCGCTCTCGTCCCGTCTCCTCGTCCCTCCATCCTTTCTTCGGCCTCAGCGGCCGCCTCCGCCTCCTCCACCCGTGCCTCGGCCTCCGCCTATTCCTCCGCTTCCGACTCCTCGTCCGTACCTGCGCCCCTCCCTCAGCCGCAGCCGCCGCCTTCGCCTCCGCCTCCCCCTCCGCTTGCGCCTGCGCCTCCGCCTTCCCCTCGCGCCCCCGCCTCCCGCCCCCCGCCCCTCCTACTGCTCCTCCTCCTCCTCCTCTTCCTCCTCCTTTCCGGCCCCGCTCCCCCTCTCCGCTCCCCCTTTCTGCCTCCGCCTCCTGTCTCCGCCTCTCCCGCCCCTCGCAGCTGCCACTCTCTGGGCGCTTGTCTGCGCGCCCGGCGGGGGGCCGTCGGTCTCGCGCCCTCCCCCTGCGACGCCCAGCAGAGCACGCAACCGTACGTCATGCGGCGCGGGGACATCATCTTGGAGGCGCGCCCGCCACGCCCAGAAGCAAGAACCCTTGAGTACAAACACTGTTTGGGGAATCGTCCCCAAACAATGCTTGCACGTGAGAGCGCGTACGTTTCTTCTTCTAGTCTTGGCGTCATTCTCCAGACAGTGTGTTGCACTTACGGGTTCTTCTGTGTCCCAACCATTTTTTCGTGTTGGCCCCTCGTTTTCAAGAGGGAGCGCCCCGCGTCATTCTCTCATTCCTGCCTCCTGCCCCCTCCTTCCCCATCCTCCCCTCCGTGCCTCTGCCCTCCGCACCGGTCAACCATGTCGGCACACTCCTCACACGCTTCGTGGCCCCATAGGGAACTCCATCGAGGGCCCCAGTGCCTGCGCTCGCATTGCGCCACCGCGCCAATTTTGCCACGCGTCGTGGCCCCATAGGGCTTAGGGAGCTCCTACGGGTGCCCCAAGGGCTGCGCTCTCATGGCACCACCGCACCAATTTTGGGAACACCTTTCACACGCTTCGTGGCCCCACGTTGATCTCCGAGAGCCCCAGTGGCTGCGCTCGCATGGCGCCACCGCGCCCATTTCGGCAGACCTCTCACTTGTTTCGTGGCCCCATTGGGAGCTCCACCGAGGGCCCCAGTGCCTGCGTCCGAATGCGGCCACCGCGCCATTTTCGTCACACCCCTCACACGTTGCGTGGCCCAATAGGGAGCTCCACCGGTTGCCCCAGTGGCTGTACTCGCATGGTTTTACCGCGCCCATTTCGGCACACTTCTCACACGCTTCGTGGCCCCATAGGGGGCTTCCCCGAGGGCCCCAGTGGCTGCGCTCGAATGGCACCACCGCGCCAATTTCGGAACACCTCTCACTTGTTTCGTGGCTATATAGGGAGCTCCATCGAGGGCCCCAGTGCCTGCGTCCGCATGGCGCCCACCGCGCCCATTTCGGCACACCTCTCGCTTGTTTCGTGGCACCATAGGGAGCTCCACCGAGAGCCCCAGTGGCTGCGGTCGCATGGCACCACCGCGCCCATGTCAACACACCTCTCACACGCTCCGTGGCCCCATAGGGAGCTCCATCGAGGGCCCCAGTGCCTGCGCTCGCATGGCGCCCACCACGCCCATTTCGGCACACCTCTCACTTGTTTCGTGGCTATATAGGGAGCTCCACCGAGAGCCCCAGCGGCTACGGTCGCATGGCACCACCGCGCCCATGTCGGCACACCCTTCACAGCTTCGTGGCACCATAGGGAGCTCCACCAGGCACCCCTTGGGCTGCGCTCGCATAGCACCACCGCGCCCATGTCGGCACACCTCTCACACGTTGCGTGGCCCCATAGGGAGCTTCACCGAGGGCCCCAATGGCTGCGTTCGCATGCGCCCACCGCGCCCATGTTGGCACACCCTCACACGTTGCGTGGCCCAACCGAAAGCCCCAGTGGCTGTGCTCGCATGGTGTTACCGCGCCCATTTCGACACCCCCTACAGGCGTTCGCGTGCGCCCACCGCGCCCATTTCGGTACATTCCTCACACGCTTCGTGGCCCTATAGGGAACTCCACCCAAGACGATTCCACACTTGCGCCACTCACAAGAGCATGTGGTTGGGTCTTTAGTCAGGCTAGTTTTCTAATGCTGGGCCTATCTGGCGTTTCGGCGGCTATGTTGCTGCTTTCGCCGCCCCATCACCGTCTCGTCGTTGCCCGTCGTCTGGGCCTGATTGTCGGTCTGGCGGCCACGTTGTCGCCGTCGCCGCCCCCTCTCCACCTAAACGGCACAACCCCACATTGGACCGAATGTATTATCCCTCCTCCCCCCCAGACTTATCGGTCCACTCTGGGCATGTGCAATTTACATACGATTATGCCCCATCGTTCGTTCTAAATTTGAGCTCATACCGTCCCAGCCAGGCGGGGCCCCCCCTTCCCCCATTCTCGTTAAATTGTACCATGCGAGTGCGCCCGATTATATTTGTTCTTATATATGCAACGACGACACATGTGACGACGTGAAATTGCGCGCGTCGTCGCGCGCGCATGCCGCATTTTTTTTACTCACCCTCGGTTTATCAAGGTGTTCAAAATCGAGGCTTCCGAAAGTATATAAAACACACATGGCTTTGCATTATATTTCCTCAACAGAAGAGAAGTTTGCCACTGCGAAGTCTTTCAACAGTCGTCGGGTCTTCAAAATTCTCATCAAATGCGACCAAGCGGGCCCATCGCGCGCGCATGCCGACGTCATTCGAACACCTTTGCGCACGTGCCCGGGGGGGACACGACCCCTGCTGAATAATGCCATGCGGACCACTCGCGCGTGTCGACCGCGCGCGCATGTCGAAATCATCCTGAAACCTTTTTCTTCGACGCTTGGGCGCCATCATCGTCATCGGCATGATCAGCACAGGCGGCGTCATTGGCCGTGCCGTCGTCATCGCCATCGTCGTCACCAGCATCGTTACTATCATCATCGTGTCTGCCCTTGCCGACGTCGCCATGATACCGCTCCCGCCCGAGTCACCGACTCGCATTGAAGTGTCCCCGCGTCAGCGCGGTTTGCGAGACGCGCCGGGCAATCCCCACCGGTCAGCACCACCGCGGCCGCGCCGGTCGCGCCAGGTTAGCTGGCCGCTCAGCTCGCAAGCCTGCGCGCGTTAGCGCGGCCGCAGCGGTACGCCAGCCAGCGCCAAGCAGTCACCGCAATCGCCGCTGTATGGGTTTTGCAAGCCAAGCTGCGGGTGGGTAGGCGGGACGATTGTGCGAGAATTGGAGTTGACAAGATTGCACCGCACAGGTTGCACCAAAAAAACATATATATATATATATATATATATATATATATATATATAATCGCTTCGCTCATCCCGCCGCCCCTGGAGCGCTATTTGGGGCCTCTTGGGGCCGACTTGGGGGCTTCTTGGGGGTTTCTTGGGAGCGTCTTGGGGCCCCTTGGCGACGTATTGGGCTCCCCTGGGGCCTCTTGGGGGCTCTTGGGGACCCTTTGGGGCGGGAGGGGGGTAGTCGTTGGCAGCCCCCCCATCGGAGGCCACGATCCTCGTGAGGGGTGGCGAAAAATAGCCTCCCCCCTGGGGATCGCCCGGGGGTCAGCCGGGGATCGGCCGGGGTACTTTTCGTCCGGGGCCCCCCACGGGCCGCCCCGCGCGCGCGAATTAGAAATATTGTTAAGTAGTTACCAGAGATCTTAGCACGCTTCTGGCCCGCTGGGCCGGTGAATTGCGTATATATATATATATATATATATTATATATATATATATATATATATATATATATTGCACCGCATGGAAAGCACAATATATTTTTCCCCGTCCAGAAGAGGTAAAAGTCCACCAGCCTCCCGAGGGCGGGCTTAACCGCCCAACCTGGGGGTGTACAATTTGCATGCGATTTTTGCCCCATCGTTCGTTTTAGATATGCAATCAGCGGATCCCAGCCAAACTGGGTTCGATACCCCTCATTGCGGGTGCGTGGCTGTGTGGCTGTGTGGGCGCGTGGGTGTGTGGGTGTGTGGGTGTGTGGGTGTGTGGGTGTGTGGGCGTGGGGGTTTGGGTGGTGTGTTTGTGTGGGTGTGGGGGTGTGGGGGTGTGGGGGTGTGCGTGTGTGCGTGTGTGCGTGCGTGCGTGCGTGCGTGCGTGCGTGTGTGCGTGTGTGCGTGTTTGCGTGTGTGCGTGTGTGCGTGTGTGCGTGTGTGCGTGTGTGCGTGTGTGCGTGTGCGTGTGCGTGTGTGTTTGCGTGTGTGCGTGTGTGCGTGTGTGCATGTGTGCTTGTGTGCGTGTGTGTGTGTGTGCGTGTGTGCGTGTGTGTGTGTTTGTGCATTTGTGGGTGTTGGCGTTTGTGCGTCCGTGCGTGTGTGCGTGTGTGCGTGTGTGCGTGCGCGTGCGTGCGTGCGCGCGTGTGTGCGTGTGTGTGTGTGTGTGCGTGTGTGTGTGTGTGCATGTGTGTGCGTGTGTGCGTGCGTGCGAGTGCTTGTGTGTGTGTCGACCTCTGGATGGGTTGCGCTCAACAATTTCTGGACTGTCGGGCTGTTCGCGGTCACCAACGAGGGAGCCGACATGCCGGCCAAGTACCTCACCGTGCCGGCAGATTGAACGAGGCAGGCTGCTTCCCCGACTGAGCGGTTCGGCTTGCCCACCCCGACAAAATCACCAACGAGCGCACCCCCGCCCGACAGTACAGCAAGGCACATGGCGTGGCCATCGACGAGATTGGTGTCAGGTCGCTAGCGGTCGCGAGGAAGCGGTCCCTCGAGAAGGCACGTCTCTTTCTTGCCACGTTCGAGATGAGCGCTGAGTTGGATGCGCCCGGCAACTCCAAGCTGCTGATCACCATCCTGGACGAGGCCGCGCAGTCCACCGAGCCGATCGCCGCCATTTGTTGTATGATCTCTCTGTCTCTTTCTTTCTTTTTCTCTCTCTCGCTCTCTCTTTCTCTCTCTCTCTCTCTCTTTTTTTTTCTCTCTCTCTCTCTCTCTCTCTCTCTCTCTCTCTCTCTCTCTCTCTCTCTCTCTCTCTCTCTCTCTCTCTTCTCTCTCTCTCTCTCTCTTTTTTTTTCTCTCTCTCTCTCTCTCTCTCTCTCTCTCTCTCTCTCTCGCACTGCGCGCAGTGGAGGGCGAGTAATGTTATGTGGAGACGAAAACCAGTTCCGCCTCGCGGCGCTGTCTGCCCGCGCGGACGCCCTGGGTTGGAGCATCTCTACGTCGGAACGCCTCCACGACTCAAAGGGCACCGCGCCGCAGCAACGCTGTCGCATGCAGAACAGCATCCTCCAATTCCCGTCCTTTTCCTTCACCCAAGGCGCGCCGCGCCCTGGCCTAGTCGATCCCCTCGCGCTGAGACCCATCATCCAAGGGGCCCCCTGGAGGCCGGCCGACCCTGCCCCGCCCGCCCCTGAGGCCCCCCCGCAGAGGACGGGCCCGACCGCCCGGTTGACTTTGGGACCCACGGCTTCCGCAACGTCCAGCATGGGGCCCAGCCGGGGGACAGGATCAGAGTCATCTTGGTCCATGAGAAAG